ACACACTCTAGGGCCTGGGGGGAAAACCGTCTACAACTTACCTCTAATGGACTGGTGGCCAGTTACCCATTAGCAACTGTAAAAAATATAAATTTTACAATAAAACTTCTACAACGCTTTAGAATGCTGCTAGAGAAACACCATCAGATCTGTATGTCTAAGTCTGAATGGCAAATCACCAGAACCCGAAGGTTTGAAATCGTGAGAGCAAAACAGTCTTACAACTCCCAGATACCCAGTTCAACCTCCATGAAAGTTATAATAAAGGCAACCGTAACTGCCACTGTGTAATTTCCAGTCCTGTTATGGTCAGGGATGGTCTCTACCGATCGCGAGTTTATGTACGCCATGTGATGTCATAGCCACGACGGTAGAGTTCTTCTTCCGTTCGCTTGAAATAGATTATCTATATCTGCAATGTTGTCTCTAGTATGAACTTCAATGTTTTTTGTAATTCAATCAGTGACCCTTGAAGTTTGGGATACCTGCTCGTGTAGAAACAGACTGCCTCTTTAGCAAGCCAGTGAAGCTTGTATGAGGGGCATGTTCACGTATATCGCGGCGAGCAAAAGGTCAACATTGAAATGTTTTAAACTCGGTAAATGTGCTTTTTTGGGACAATGGAATTGAGGAGGCAAAATATATCTTTCACAGTGAAAGGATTGCACAGAATTAGAACGAAATCGAGGAATAGACTGCAAGCTCTATGTGACACATCACAGCATCACAGGACAAGGATGATTTTTACACACACACACAAACACACACACTCACACATACACACGCATACATGTAATGAGTGTAGTTTTCAAGTTGCAATTCGTTGTCATCAGCTGTATTATACATAAGTAATCAGTTAGGTTTCCCAGGTTTTATCGTCATCATCGTTATTACGATCACTCATTGACACAAAATATGGAATAATAGGTCTTGAGTTCGTAGTCTTCTTCTTCGCGTTCACCAGCTGTAAACAGTGGCGGAAATTTCTGGTTGTTTATCCGCTTCTGGACTATAGTCCTGTTCAAGAACCTGAGTGTTGTGTGTGTATCCGTTTTACAGATCCGACTCATTTGTATGCAGACTCCTGGTTTCTTCCTTTTCAGGCAGATGCAATCGGACTTCGAAGGAAGCTCCCAATTAGTCGACTCTTACGACATGCTTTTGGGTAGGCAGTGGTTCTATTCTTGTTTTCCTTCACAATATGGCCCCGGAACCCACACGAGCTTTATTATCTCTCTATATGCAGGTAATTTACACGGCTTTAATTATTTTGATGTATGTCAACAGTAGTTGGTCAGATCGTGCCCAGTTTATTCATGCATTTTGCTATCTGCTCCACAGGGTATTGTCACACTACACACACGTGTTGCCATTTCCCATGTCTCGTGTTGTGGAGAAACATAAAAACCATCACTGTTTTATTACTTTAAGACCTGGCCTTCGCACTTAATTTCTTGGTCGCGAATATATTATGCTTATCTCACAGTACCTCCTTCGAAACCACTAAGTCGTCTTGTCTCTGGCCGAAATAATAACACCATCCGGTAATTCTGTGCAGCGGGGAAGCAGCCCTGAGCTTCATGAACTCAGGTGGGCCCACCTCCGAATACGTTTAGGAATCGTGGGCCGAAACGTGTGTCGAAAGAGGATAATTTCTACTGATGACTGTAGATCCCCGCTGTACTTGCTCCCTGTGAGTTTATTCTTATTATTGCGTTATTATATTTATGAAATTTGGTCTAGCCAGAGACTGTACTAGTCTGCAAAAACCTTGCCAATTTTAGGGACTGAACCTGTACTAATGTCTCGCGATGCAAGCTCACTAACCATTACGCTATTAAGTTAAAAAGCAGTTTGTACATGAAAAATACAATGAGTAGTGCATACGTACATACGTACATACATACATACATACATACATACATACATACATACATACATACATACATACATACATACATACATACATACATACATACATACATACATACATACATACATACATACATACATACATACATACATACATACATACATACATACATACATACATACATACATACATACATACATACATACATACATACATACATACATACATACATACATACATACATACATACATACATACATACATACATACATACATACATACATACATACATACATACATACATACATACATACATACATACATACATACATACATACATACATACATACATACATACATACATACATACATACATACATACATACATACATACATACATACATACATACATACATACATACATACATACATACATACATACATACATACATACATACATACATACATACATACATACATACATACATACATACATACATACATACATACATACATACATACATACATACATACATACATACATACATACATACATACATACATACATACATACATACATACATACATACATACATACATACATACATACATACATACATACATACATACATACATACATACATACATACATACATACATACATACATACATACATACATACATACATACATACATACATACATACATACATACATACATACATACATACATACATACATACATACATACATACATACATACATACATACATACATACATACATACATACATACATACATACATACATACATACATACATACATACATACATACATACATACATACATACATACATACATACATACATACATACATACATACATACATACATACATACATACATACATACATACATACATACATACATACATACATACATACATACATACATACATACATACATACATACATGCATGCATGCATGCATGCATGCATGCATACATACATACATACATACATACATACATACATACATACATACATACATACATACATACATACATACATACATACATACATACATACATACATACATACATACATACATACATACATACATACATACATACATACATACATACATACATACATACATACATACATACATACATACATACATACATACATACATACATACATACATACATACATACATACATACATACATACATACATACATACATACATACATACATACATACATACATACATACATACATACATACATACATACATACATACATACATACATACATACATACATACATACATACATACATACATACATACATACATACATACATACATACATACATACATACATACATACATGCATACATACATACATACATACATACATACATACATACATACATACATACATACATACATACATGCATGCATGCATGCATGCATGCATGCATGCATGCATGCATGCATGCATGCATGCATGCATCCATACATACATACATACATACATACATACATACATACATACATACATACATACATACATACATACATACATACATACATACATACATACATACATACATACATACATACATACATACATACATACATACATACATACATACATACATACATACATACATACATACATACATACATACATACATACATACATACATACATACATACATACATACATACATACATACATACATACATACATACATACATACATACATACATACATACATACATACATACATACATACATACATACATACATACATACATACATACATACATACATACATACATACATACATACATACATACATACATACATACATACATACATACATACATACATACATACATACATACATACATACATACATACATACATACATACATACATACATACATACATACATACATACATACATACATACATACATACATACATACATACATACATACATACATACATACATACATACATACATACATACATACATACATACATACATACATACATACATACATACATACATACATACATACATACATACATACATACATACATACATACATACATACATACATACATACATACATACATACATACATACATACATACATACATACATACATACATACATACATACATACATACATACATACATACATACATACATACATACATACATACATACATACATACATACATACATACATACATACATACATACATACATACATACATACATACATACATACATGCATGCATGCATGCATGCATGCATGCATGCATGCATGCATGCATGCATACATACATACATACATACATACATACATACATACATACATACATACATACATACATACATACATACATACATACATACATACATACATACATACACGCACACATTGCTATATATACAAGAACTGCTTTTCCACGCCTTTAGGCGTATTGGCATATAGGGCTAGACCTATATTTATAATCCAGTCGGCACTTGGTGGGTGATCTGCCACCTTTACTATCCAGGACTATACCTGGTACCCAACAAAGGCTAGGTCAACCTGGGAGCCAAGTTCACGTTAAAAAAAAAGATAAATCCGCATGGGAGCATTTAGCAGCTACACCACGATGGTTGCCACACACACACATGCTCACCCATACACACACACACACATGCTCACCCATACACACACACACATGCTCACCCATACACACACACACATGCTCACCCATACACACACACGCGCGTATATATTACGAAATACAACATAACGAGGTGAATCAGGAAATACCATGACATCGGCAACAGACAGCATGGCTGAACAAGAGTAAAAGTACGGAATGTTCGATACAATTAAAACATTCTCAGGAAATATATCTGTACACAGACAAGGTCAGTTAACAATCACAACACCTAAGAAAATTAACGTCAGGTCTTATGCTTTAGTCTTTAATGCATTTCCTTTATTACGGATTGCTAAACGCCTCATGTTGCTGTTTTGCCAATAGCAAACCGTTGGCACAGTTACTGAGTTGAAGGGTGGGAATATCTTATTCCATATTTCGAGGTCATTAGCAACGTTGAACCGGGTTTCCTTCGCACCAGCATTTACAATCCTTTCCTTGAAAGCCAAAATTTTGACACCTCAGCGGGATAAGGCATTTCCGATTACATCTATACATCAGATTGGCAAGTTTGATATCATTAAAGCTCAATCCATTGGCTTTTCCAATAATGTTTTGAAAAGACGGATCCTTTGTTTGAATGGCAATTTTCCCGTTTTTACCATCCCCGCTGTAATGCATAAGACTTTTATAATCGTATGGCACGCCATAAGTGTCAATTTCATAGGATATTTTATAATTATACTCGTTTTCCACATTTTCCATAATTATTGTGACAAACTGATCTCTATCTGGGCGATTTTGTTCATGAAAGAATCCAATTGCGTGTCCCAGTTCATGCGTAATAAAATTTAGGTTGATGCAATCAGCTGTATTTAATGAGACTTCCTGTGGGCCTCCAATCATTCCAACTTGTGAATAGCAACCAGTCCCGTTAATGATTTTGATATAATTTCTGTCGAGAGAGTGAACAGGTCTAAACTTGATACAAGTGTACTGCTGCCAAACATGCATGGCTTGGTAGATTAGATCTAACGCCTCATCGTTAAACTGATCAGGAATAATTTCATATGGTATCTCATCTTGTGGCCAACGGCTGCTGGCATGTTTTATGGCTTTTCTTTTCTTTCTTGACAGTGAGACAGTATTGTAGTTCATGGCCTGAAAAAGTAATATATAAAGTATAAAATAGAGGCACTCGGTCAAAGTTGAAAAGAGAACTTGAATGTTTGCACAAACATTGATTTCCCTCAGCTCGTTTATAAATTAGTGCCGATGTTAAAAAAATATCTCTCAGCTGTAGTGGAATATAAGTGGATGAAATAGGATAACAATGTTTACTTTACTCTCAACGTTATATCAGATTACCTCCACCCTTCCCCCGTTTTCTTCCCTCCTCCCCGCATAACAAGGAAGTGAAATGCATTCTTGCTTATTCGAGGCATAAACATATACGATAACCCTTGCTGGACCTGCCTTTTAAGAGTTATGCAGCACAAAGTTCAAATGTAAGCAATCGACCTTTCACAAAAACATGTGTTTCTTGTGTTTGACGTAAATTCCACAGCCGTTATGCTGTAAGTGTCTCAGCGTGTTGTAAAATTAGTGCGCTGGATCGTTTCGAAGTATGTGAAAAAGCGGTAAAGACGGAACTTTTGTGGTTAGGTCAATTCACGTCAGTTCCATAACATGTATTTATGTTACCCAAATAAAATTATACGAGTGATCAAAATAACAAAGAAAATGTATGTTTTGATATAACTAGGAATTCTCAATAGCATGTATGTATAAAACATTATCGTCGAGATGAAAATTGGAGCCCATTAAAAAATGAAAAGAAAAAAAAATATTTATTTTAAAAAAAAAGTCACGTTCTCAGAAAAGTACTTACCGAGATATTTTCGAAAACGAAACGGCGTGAAATAAAATAAAAAAAAAAATAAAAAATAAAACACACACTATATCAATAATCTACTGTGTTGGTAAGCCATAACCTTGTTAAAATTGTTTTGGTAACGGCTTCACGGCCAGGAGGTTCTCCCCATAATTGCGCGGTCCTATGCCGTCGGAAATCACACAAAATGGCCTTCACTGTCCCAACTGAAATTTTGCGAAAGAGGTATTAGTCCCAGCAAAATCTTGAAGCTCACACACGCAAAATAAAAGCATTAGGATTGCAACACACTGTTGCTGCAAGCCGTCAATAATGAAACTGGCATTTGCACAAGCGACACTGCATAAGCACATGCCAGTCCAAACGCAATCGTCCACCTGCAATTTTTAGTGCACAACACAAAAACCGTATACACCGAGGAGACATAGAGAAAAAAGCAAAATATATTCCACATGACACCCACAGCTCACAGTTTCGCACTGTCCATTCAGTTCAGTACCTGGTCGATGGGATATTTGGACTCTCGAGGCATTATGGATTACGCGGTGTTTTATTGTACAAATTGAGAACCAAAAGCAAAATGATAGCCTTGCTGAGGGGCTAAAATTAGGAAGAAGTGCAGTGACAACTATGCTGAGAGATAAAAGTGGGGAAGGGGTGGGATTAGCCCACTTACTCTTAAAAACATTGCATTCATTAGGGCGGCTAATTAATGATTTGCTCAAACTGAAAGTGTTGGACCGAAATGTGTCGTTATTTTAGCCTACTTGTGAATGACCTCAGAATGTGTCAAACGTTGTTTTAAAGAACGGTCATCAGTAGAAGAAAAAAAGTTTCAGGTTACTACTAAGCAGATCATAATTAGTAATTGTTTCTTTGCGTTCACCCACTGTAAACTTCAGCAGAATGTCCTCGTTGTTCGACTATTTCTGGACTTTAGTCTTGTTCTAGTATTTGAGTGCTGCACAGCCGTTTTACATATCTGGTTTATCTGTAAAGAGACGGTTGGTTATTCGCCTCACAGGCATTAGCACTCTGAATTCCAAGGCAACTTACTGGTTTCAAATAACCACATCTTCTTATTCTACAAAGAGTTAAAGTTATAAACTGTCCGAGATTGAACGAATTCATAGGCCGGTTTCAACCTTCCAGCACTTCGCCTGGTACCCATTTAATGCTAGGGAGCCAAGAACCTTTAAAATAATGTCCGGATCCGTTGGGATTTCAACCCACAGCCTTTGGATCCGCAGGCGAACATGTAGCCATTTCACTAAAGCGGACCCAATGGTGACGAAGCGAGGGGTGTTTTGAAAATATCTGTCTTTTAAGTCGACCTATAATAAATGGGTACCAAGCAATATTAAAGGAAGAATGTTGCGAATACCTTGGACTGCCAGAATAACTAACAATGATTGCATGGAAATGGCTAATGAAAGTGGTAATGATGGGATTTCATAAAAGGGTTCCCGATATGATATGGTAGTGTTAACCATCCATCTGTTTAATCCAGTCATCTCCTTGTGAGATGCAATGTTTCGTTATTTAAAGCCCTACTCTGGCTCTTGTCAATAGGCCGCAACATTGCCGGACCATAAATATGGTTTAATGGTAGAACGTGGTTTCTGGGACCTCTCCACAGTGATCCTCATCCACATGGTGGCATTTTGTGTCATCGGGTGTTTATCAGGTGTTTATACTACTACTACGTCATTGTAGGGTCAAAGGGCAGTCAAGTGAGTAGAACCCGAAAAGGGAACGCTCGCTAATTCCCGATAAGAAGAAACTCCACAGGGGAGCATGTACAGTAGAGGTCTACTAATCATCAGTAGAAGTAATCTCTCGTCAAAAATGTTTCTGCCCACGAGCTACGAGATTTTTTCAGAAAGTGGGCCCACCTGAGTTCATGAAGTTGGTTTCCCCTGCTGCACGAATTACCGGACTGAATTACTGTATTTAACTGAACTGTTAATAGTCTATTTCTGCGAATGGATGATTTTGCGAGGAAGTATAACGGGAGACTGCTTTAAAGAAGGGGCCTTTGATCCGAGGATCATGCGTGGGGAAAGGAAGCTATTTTGGGTTTACTACATTTAAAAAAATTAGAACAGAAAAGGAAAAAAATCAACAAAAAAAGTTTCAAAAGAAAGGGGTTTTTTGGTGATCACAACTTTATTTGAGAAGCACACGGAGGGGACACCCTCAATGCCAAAAGGAGAGAAAAACAAATTTCGGGGATTTTTTAAATTTTTCGGGGAAAAAATGATTTTGGCGGGAGAAAAGGGGGAACGGGAAAATCCTTTGGGGAAGGGGAAAGCAAACCATGGGTTACGCAACAAAAAACAGAATGAGAGTTAAAAACCCAAAAACCCTGCTTGGGGGACATACTCAGGAGGAGTTTGGAGCACTTTATGGTCATGCCCGGGGGGGGAAAAGGGGATTTTTAAAATGAACAGTAAAAAATTTGTACT